CTATACCAACGGGAAATTGTCGAATGATGAGGCGCTTCGTTGCCAAAAACAGACAGTAACTCAGCAAGGTATTCTTGTTGCGATAATTGTCTCTGAAAGTTGTAATAAATTATGGCGCGAAAATGTTCTCGGTTGAGTTCCATTTTTCTAATGACTTGGTGACACTTAAAAATTCACTGTAGTGAGAACACTGCACGTATTGTTGTGAAACTTTGAATTTAAGTTTACTAAAGAGTGAGGTTAAGATTCAGTACTGACGTTCGATCCGCGCGGCCAACTATGTTTTCTATATGCAAAACTTAAAAGACGTCCCCAGTAGTTTAGAAAAACTAAAAAAAAACACGCTTTTATAGATAAGCGAACTAAAAAGTAGAACATCATTTTTAATTACAAAGATTCAATATTACAGTAGTAGATAGTCGAACAATCAATTATAATTAATGACCTCACAATTAAAATTATTATTAAACAGCGGTAATATTAAATCTTTGTAATCAAATATTATTTTCTACTTTTTAATTCGGTTAGCTATAAAAGCGTGTTTTTTTAGTTTTTTTAAACTATTATTCATTTATTATATATTTAGGCCTAAAGTCTTCGTGATGGCTCCAGTACAAAAAAAAGTTAACCTTAACGTATAAATAATATTAGCTAGGCAGCAGGAACGGAATCTTGGGTTCAAGGACTACAAACTACTCGATATAATGTTAGCGGTGAGGTATGACCACTATAATAACTTTGTACGATACTATCGACTACCATGTATTTGATGACTCATGAAAAAGTGTAAGCATATTTCTGACCGCACGCTTCTGTACCTCGACAAATATCATTATCTTTTCATACGATTCTCCCGATTAAGCGGAACATTCTATAGAAACGCTGGATGCCAGCACGTTCGGAGGTCCAAGGGTCCACTGACCCCTTCACGAATGTCTGAAACTGATGGACGAGAGATAACAACATTCGTCTTTTATACTCAAATACAGAATTCAATTGAAACTGCGAGACGTTTCGAATTACGAGGGCGAGATAACGCGATTCTAACCTTTTTTTTACACGACCCATCTAATCAAATGGAAAATTCTATGGAAGCAGTACGTGTAAACACGTTTCGAGGTCCCTGTGACCGCTGACATTCGACAGTCAACAATTATCTGCTAAAAAATCAACTAAATGACGGAACTTATCACAACTCTACTCTTTTTCATATCATGATTCTTCTAACCAAGCAGAACATTCAGTGGATGTCGACACTTTTCGAGGTCCCAGCGACGGCTGACCCTAACTTAGCTATGAATTAAACTGAATGGTACGAAATAATAACTATACTATTTTTTCATACAATAATTGAGCGAAAACTTCTATGGAAACGGTAGATGATAGCGCATTCCAGGGTCCACGGGACCGCTGACTATAACCATTAACCTGGCGAACGGAGGATAATAGTTCTACTCCTCTTCATACAGTTCTTCTAATCAACTGGAACACTTGGCGAGTGGTAATACGATTCGAGGTCTCAGGGACCGCTGACTCCCCAACCGTATACGCATTTTCCGTACAAAATCAACTGACTGTCAGAATATCACAACTATACCCCTTTTCTCATCTGATTCTCCTAAACAAGCAGAAAATTAGTGGAAACGATAGATGCCGCTAAGTTTCTAAATTCTAGGGACCACTGAACCTCAACCATGAAAGATCCTACAAAGTAAACTGACAGGCAGAAAACAAATCTACACTTCTTTAATAGTGTGGAGTACCACAAGGCCCAAATTTGGGTCCTCTATTGCTTCTACTGTTCACTAATGACTCGTGTGATATCTTATAATTGTGAGAAAATACTGTTTGCAGACTATTTGAATATGTTTGCTGAAGTTAATAGTTTAGAGGCCTGCATATGGCTGCAAACACGCTAATGTTCTTGATGAATGGTGTGGAAACAATAGAATGACTCTAAATCTTGGCAAATGCAAAGTTGTAACGTTTACCCGAAAACAAAACAAAAAAACAGTACCACTATTATTTGAATTTGAAAACCATTGTCGATAGCTGTAAACATTTCTGTGATTTGGGTATAACCGTTGATTGCCGACTGAGATTTGAGGGTCATATTTACAATATTATCAGTCATGCAAAACATAATGATAGGCCTTATTGTGAGGAATTGCAAACATATATCAAACATCTCCTCATAGTCTAATCATATTAGCAAATTTCTCCGAAATAATTGTAAAGTCTCGTTTTATTGGTGCAAGTTGTTAAAGGGAGTCTTCAAAACATGGACACATAAAATGGGTACACCAATTTTTGTGGGAAAACTTTTTATTTGACAACAAAGAATGAGAAAACGTGTTATTGGGATTCAATCGAAAGTGTTGACAGGTACGAACAAACTTTTCATATAAGATATTCAGGTATTTATGAGACCTTTAAAATGAGATCACACGTAAGAAGATCAGACTAATATCAAAAATGTTATGGCCGAAAAACGAGGCAAAATGCAGGTTGTGGCACTTGTTGGTAATGCGACGATAAGTTCAAGCAACTGTTTGAAATTCTTCAAATCCGTAGGATTCACACTTCTAAATAACGACAACAAAATTGGAGTATATAGGTCAAGTGGTTTTTTGAGAATTTCTAATTGTATGTCCCAAAACACCTGTTTGCCGGCCATCACTACTAGTTTATTGAGCAATATACAGGGTTCGTTCAGAGATCATTTAATACCAAAATACACAACTTTATCTTGCCGATATGGATCACAAACCATTCCGAAATATAAATGTTATTTTTATGCCAAAAACAAAGGTTCCTTTTTTTTCTTCTAAACATCAAACATTTCGTATTTGTGAGTAATTGAACAAATGCGCTATGATATTCGAAAAACATATGTTACTATACACATCTTAAAACAAAGCAGATGTGTATATCGTTTGTGGCGTATTACTCACAAATAAGAAATGTTTGAATTTTTTTAGAAAAAAATAACGTAACCCATTCTTTTTTGCATAAAAATAACATTTATCTTCCGGAATAGCTTGCGATTCATATCGGCAAGGTAAACTAGTGTATTTTGCTATAAAATGCTCTTTGAAATAACCCTGCATATTGCTCAATAAACTAGTAGTGATGGCCGGAAAACAGGTGTTTTGGGATAAACAATTAGTAATTCTCAAAAACTACTTGAACAATCGACTCCAATTTTGTTGTGGTTATTTAGAAGTATGAAGCCTACGGATTTAAAAAATTTCAAGTAGCTGCGTGAAATTATCGTCGCATTAGCAACAAGAGCCATAACCTGCATTTTGCCGCGGTTTTCGGCCATAACTTTTTTGCTAATAGTCGGTTCTTTTTACGCGTGGTCTCATTTTGTAGGGCTAATAAATACCTAAAAATCTTATACAGAGTTTTTTCGTTCCTGCCAACACTTTCGATTGAATCCCAAAAAACACGTTTTATAATTCTTAGTTGTCGAATAAAAGTTTTCCCACAAAAATTGGTGTACCCGTTTTACGGGTCCATGTTTCAAATACCCCCTTGAACAACTTGCAGCAATAAAACCAGACTTTACGATTTTACGAATTTACTTTGTTTTTTTTCATTCTAAGTCGGAATTAGAATTACGTGTACCAATTTTAACAGTATTGTCATGTACGTGACATTTTTTATTGTACTTTAAGTAACTTAAACTGTGTACCTCAGCAATATCAAACTTTTCTTGTTTTGCTCATTTGCGTCTATAACATGTATATGTAATGTTCATTAGTATTTTTAAGTGTTTATGAAATGTAACTACTTTTTGTGTTGTTTGCTATGTAAATGGATTTTTCTGTTGGGCAATAAAAAATCGAGTAAAAAGTTCTATGGAAAACAGTGGATGCTAGCACGTTTCGAGGTCCAAGGAACCACTGACATAAAACATGAACCTGTTGGATGAGGGATAATAACCCTGTCCTTTGTTCATATGATTCGTCTAATCAAGTGGAAAACTTGGCGAGTGTAGGCACGTTTCGAGGTCCCAGGGACCGCTGACCCCGGCCATGACCGCTTCTCTCCTACGAAATGAACTGACGAACGGGAGAGAACAATAAAGTGACTTCATCTGGCCAAATACGAAGAAAGCACGTTCCAAACGAGATGAAATAACGTAATCACTGGCCGTCGATCGTTTGCGAAGATAACTCTTAAAATGTCTAAATTGGTCCTTTTGTCTCTAGAAGCCGTATACGAACGAGATTGTTAGATTTTAGATGGTCAAGTCAGATTGTTGGGAACTTACGCAAAGGAATTTCAAGACCTTATAAAGGGAATTTTACCAACCTTTACCGCGTATGACCTCTGCTCTAGAATGAACAAACACTAGGTTATAGCTAGCTTCTGGTTGTAGAAGAGATTGGCAAATGATACATGTCTACGTTAACCTAGTAGTAACAGTAGTAACATACGTTAGACAGACATTTTCAGTAAAGTCGATTGAATAATCATCTCAAAAAGTAAGATATAGGTACCGAGAGTTCCACTTTAAACAACCGATATGAAGGAGTTCTCCCTAGGTATAACTATATAACTAGGTATAACTATAATTGCATAGACGAAAAGAACATACCGCACCTCCAAATCAGTACTGTCATAACTGCAATTTCAATACTGCCAAACTGAAAATACAATTATATTGCAGTTACGATAGTAACATTTCCTACTTACCATAGATAACATTAAGACCCTATTGTAGAGGATGGGCTAAACATTCTTCAACATTTGTATATGGGGCCCCTCAGGAACAAGCTACGGGGATCAAACATCTATATCGCGCTTCGAAGAGCATATTTTTGAGCAGGAATCCGCACTACATACCCTGTATCTCGCAAACTATCAACTTTTGGACTGAGGTAGGTTTAGGTCAATTCACATATTTTGGTCTGTAGTATCTCCAGTTTTGAGATTTCCCAACCTTTCGCAGAGCCTGTCTATAAAGTAAATTGAAAATCTATTCTTACCTGTAATTCTGGCGGTCCTCCCTCATCCCTGATCAGCAATAGATAACTCTGATTATCGACTAGCACCTCCTTTTTGAAGCGGCCCCCTTCCGGGGACTCCTCCTGCATGTAGCTACCCGTCAGGTAACGGTGCACCAATGCGGATTTCCCAGAGGATAGGGACCCGACTATGCCCAGCCTCAAATCCGGGACAGATCGCGATACCGTCCATTCTTGGGAGTTTACGAACGAATCTGAAACAAGGATATTTCAATTAATATTCTGACAGAAATGAAAGCTCAGATATGAAATTAAATCGAAAATAGCGTCAAGTAGATTGACTCTGCACTTCCCAGGCAATGGTGTCATCAGTTCATAAAGAATTAAGTTCACCACAAGTTAGCCGATCTGAGGAAAAGTTACTTACGAACATGTGTAATGGAAAAATTAAATGGATCAAGTCAGCCAAAAAGGCATATACAAATAGTACGTAATCCTCACCCATATAACATCGTCGCGATCTAGAAAATTGTCCCTTGTCCTACCGACAGTATGGACCATCTGGATATAAATCCAGGTATATTCAGAGACGCGTGAAATGATAATATTCATATCACTCAAAGTTTTACGGCCTGGAGAGCTGGACGATCATCAATTATCTATAATTTGAAAAGCATTCTAAAAATGATTTTTAAAAAACCGAAACTTTATTCCACTGACGAATTATACACAGGTTTACAAATGTAAGATATAAGCCATCTTTATGCAGCAGCTATATCTCTATTCAGCGCCAAAATTTTATCAAATTATAGCTAAAGCTGTAAAAGATTCATATTACAAAAATTATTTCAAGCGAAATTTGAAAAAGTGGTTACATTCTAATGGGTGATTTTTTTGGTAGTATCTTTTTGGCAACACTGTTTTTGACAGATGACGCGTAAATCGTGTCTTGTGTCATTGTCAAACTTGTTCAGTTTGGTCTATAATTTAACCATGAATCATGCTCGGTTAAGAGAGTGCATCGAGCACTGCTTCCAATTTATGGGCAATTTGGTCGGCCTACTGAGGGAGCTATTCGGAAGCTTGTGACTAAATTTCGAACCCAGTTTACATTATTGGACATTAAACCACCAACACGCAGACGTAGAGTGAGGACTGAAGAAAATATTGCGGCTGTATCCGCCAGTGTTAGTGATGACCGTGAAATGTCGATTCGCCGCCGTTCGCAGCAATTGGGCCTCTGTTACTCCACTACGTGGAAAATTTTGCTTCAGGATTTGGGTGTAAAACCTTATAAGATACAGCTGGTGCAAGAATTGAAGCCACACGACCTTCCACAACGTTTCCAATTTGGTGAATGGGCGCTGGCAAAGTTAGAGGAAGATCCACATTTTGTGTTCAGCGACGAAGCTCATTTCTGGTTGAATGGGTACGTTAACAAGCAAAATTGCCGCATCTGGAGTGAAGACCAGCCAGAAGCATTGCAAGAGCTACCAATGCATCTCGAAAAAAATACTGTTTGGTGTGGATAATGGACCGGTGGCATCATCGGGCTGTACTTCTTCAAAGACGACAAAGGCAGGAACGTAACTGAGAATGGCGAGCGCTACCGTGCGATGATAACAAACTTTTTTTGCCCAAAATGGAAGAGCTGGACTTGGCTGACATGTGGTTTCAACAAGACGATGCCACATGCCACACCGCACACGAAACAATGGCCCAATTCAGAGGCGAGTTCGGTAAACAGTTTATCTAACGTTTGGGGCCCGTCAATTGGCCGCCTAGATCGTGTGATTTAACGCCGTTGGACTGTTTCTTGTGAGGCCATGTTAAGGCTAATGTCTACAGGGATAAACCAGCAACGATTGACGCACTGGAAGCCAATATTGAAGCATTTATTCGTGAGATACCGGCCGATATGTTGGAGAGAGTGTGCCAAAATTGGACCTTGCGCAGGGGCCATCTAAAGCGGAGCCGCGGAGAACATTTACATGCAATAATCTTTAAACATTAAATTATATCGACCGTTCTATCGACTCAAATAAAGATTTAATCGTTTTTCAAATTTTTTGTGTTTTTTTGGAAATCAAATCCCATACCTCTTAAAAAATCACCCGTTATATCAAGGACTGAAATGCATAAACACATGAATACGAACTTCACGTAAATTCATAATCCACTAATTCTTGTCTTTTTTTATGATTTGTATTCTACGGTTACAGCTTGAGATTATCGGACCATGCATAGACAATGCCTCCTATTGGGACAACGTTTATTTTATATTCATTTAATCATGTTGTTTTCTTTGTACATTGAGTGATTATTATTATTATTATTATAATTATATATTATAATTAATTACCGGAGTTGGATGCGCCAAAAAATTGAGATATACCCTCCCCCACCCGCTAAAACTCCCAACTCCCAATTCTGAACCCTAACAAAACAGTTCTGAAACTTCCAAGACGAAGGTGATTTTTTCGATTTTTTGCCCCTAGCTCCGCCACCAGTGGATCGATTTTGAAAACTATAAAGGAGTTTCGTCCTTGACAGAGTGGTAATATTGTGTGAAAATTTCATTAAAATACGAGCAGTACTTTTCTGACAGACAGACCGACGAAAATGACGTCCAATTACAAGTCATACACATGCTAACCATAACTACAAATAATTTCCCGTATGATATGATTTCGTGATATTTACAAATCAGGTCATACCATAAAACCCAAAAACAATCTATCATGTTGGAAATTTTGAGCGATTACAAAACTTCCTCGCCAATGACGTAGGAAGTAAAACAAACCTCCTAAGTCCGGATGACGTCAGAAAAATATATATGTACTTGACAACGCATTTTTCAATCAGTTTCACTAGCCGTTAGGTTCCGATCATGTTAAATATGGTGAAAGTGCACATTTATGTCGTAGCCTACAACGGGAGTGTTCGCGGAGACATTGTGATATGGAAAACTACCGTGACAAGCCTTTATTGAAAGCTTGCAACCTTGCTGCTTCCAATGAAGTGCATTTATTGCAGTTTCGAATTTACGATGAATTTTTATTTAAATATCGTTTTTTTTAATTCATCTAGATCAGAGTTTGTACTTCCGACATGTTCATCGTGCCAGGTGAGACAACGTAGAGATTATGAGCTTTTTTGGCATTCAAAATAAGACAGCAGAAAGTGTCACCAGAATTGGGGGCACCTAGCGGCCACAGTCGTGACTCGGCTGCCAAATGCGAACCTTTAAACATATATAGTATCTGGCTAGCCGGACAGACTAACAGAGCGACGAAACTTTCAACTAAGAGCAAAGGTCCACCGGACCGCTCTGACGAACAACGACGAATAGTAGTCAAATGCGAACTGGGATCCTGCTCGAACACGCAGCTTGCTGTTTTCACTTTTGCAGTGGTTGATTTTGGTAATAAATTGCATTTTGTGCTTTCTTATTCGTTTCAGCTTTCGTTCATTGTTCTATCTGAGACCAAGCCTAGACCATGCTGAAGAGTTGCCGAATAGCACGAAACAGCTGTCCATAGTGGATGTCAGATGTTGGATGAATGAAAGCTGTATTACTAGTACTTTGGAATTTAATTATTCCTGTTAAATAGTCCAGACATGAGATTGTGGGCCCTCATATACAGGGTTATCCAAATTAAGTGTCCACCATTAGTAACTTTGTTATTAGTGAAAATACAAAGTTGTTTGAATTAGAAAACTAGTAGCATTTTTAACGCTGGTAAAAATGAGAAATAAAAAAAAACAATTGAGAGTCGTTATTTTGATTTTTTTCAGTAAAATAACATTTTTTTAAATGGAAACCCCTGTATATTATATTTTTTTCTGTTAAAGCATCAAATTTTAAACAAAAAAGTTCATAATGACTTTTCCGCTAAAGTCAAAAATAAAGTCAAAATAACGATAAATATTTTTAATTATTTGCAGTATTATAATATTAAGACGGCTATGAAAACAACATGGCGTTCGCGATTTGACAGCATTAAGATAAGCGACAAATTGTTAAACTGGACATACTCGCAACTAGAAGGCTTTGGAAAACAATGATAAAATCAAATAATGTCAAACATTAGTGTAAATACTTGTTTATAAGCTTTATTGTGTCATTAATTTAAAGAAAAATGTTCTCCCATGAAGAAAAGTGTGATATGTTAGAATGCTATTTAGTGTGAAGAAAATCCTCCTTGAGAGCAAGAGAATACTACAGTGAATTATATCCCGCTCGCATTCAACCGTATGAACGATATTTTCTGAGACTTTATCGAAAATTTAGGGGCAACGAAAATGTTTTTGCTAAAACAAGGGCAAAAAAAGAATTCATAATAAGCGAGGCCACGGAAATTGCAGTTATTGGATATTTTGAAGCTTATCGTGAGAATTCAATAGCAGATATTCTCAAGGACTCTAATTTCAGTTATGGTACTGTTCAAAGGATTTTAAAAAAATACAAATTTATTCCGTATAAGTACCGACCAGTTCAAACGCTTTTGGCAGGGGATCCAGAGAGAAGACTTGTTTTTTGCCATTGGTATCTTAGCTTCTGTCGCCAAAATGTAAATAACTTTCGTTACCTTTTATGGACAGATGAATCAAATTTTTCAAATTCTGGAATGTTTAATAGAAAAAACCACCATTATTGGTCAAGAGAAAATCTTTTGTTAGTACATCCAAGAGGCCCACAAGTCCGTTTCAGTTTCAACGTTTGGTGCGGTATAATTGGTTCAAAAATTGTTGGCCCGTTCTTTTATGAGGGAACCCTAACTGGTGAAAGATATGTGGAATTTATGTCAGAAATTCTGACTAATTTCTTAGACGAATTGGATGTTATAAGTAGACATCATCTGCATTTTCAGCAAGATGGCGCACCTGCCCACAACTCCAGAGGTACTTATCATTTTCTAAGTACTACTTTTAATGATCAGTGGATAGGAACAAATGGCCCAATACAGTGGCCTCCCAGATCACCAGATCTAAACCCACTTGATTACTTCTTGTGGGGTTACTTAAAGAACCAAATTTACAAGCGAAGGTACGATAACCTTGACGCGTTAAAGACTGCAGTTAGGGAAAAGATAACCCAGATAGATGGTAGGACCATACTTAAGACAGTTCGAGCAGTTGAAAAACGTGCCCAAAAATGTATTGAAGAACAAGGTGGTGTTTTCGAGCATCTTCTTTAAAAAAAATTGTTATTGTATTTTGTAAGATTATAAGTTGATGTTGAAAATAAAGT